TGTAAGAGGTTAGACCTCTGTTGTCCTCGGTTACACCTCGGTTCTCCTTCTCCTTCCATCACTTCTTTTCCCTCCTTTCCTCTTTTGCCACCACTTACCTGTTGGCGCATTACTCTTTCCCCTTTTCCTTTCTTGGCTTAGGTTTGTTTTGAGTCTTTTCTTAGATTTGTCAGCGGAACCTTCTGGCTTACCTTGATTTCAAATCAGGTTTTCTTGGCAGAACCTTCTGGATCTTGGCAGAACCTTCTGGCCCCTCTTGATTTCAAATCAAGGCCCCTTGACGGAACCTTCTGGTTGCTTTTGATTTCAAATCAGGATTTGTGGTCACAAATCCTTTCATGTATATATTGGGATCTCTTCCCCTCCTTTGTAGCTCTTCATCGAATCCTCTTTGTTCCCCCTAATACTTGGCACTCTTGTGTGTGACCCTTACAAACAATCAGCTAGGAATGGCATGGCTCCAGCAGGTCTTTGATCGTGAGATGAAAGCAAAAGCAAGACAGTCTTATCGCCTACTTATCCTTGATGGATATGGATCACATATCACGATGGAATTTATCAAGTTTTGTGATGAAAATAGGATCCTCCTGGCCATCTACCCACCTCATTCAACTCACACTCTGCAACCACTCGATGTCTGCCTGTTTAAGCCTCTATCATCCATCTACTCTGCTGAGCTTGCCGACTTCATGTATAAGTGCCAGGGCATCTCTGCTGTTACTAAAAGGGACTTCTTCCGCTTCTTCTGGAAGGCCTGGAATGCAACATTCAAGGATTCGGCAATTCTCAAGGCTTTTAAAGTCACTGGCATCTCGCCAGTAAACTCAGAGGCAGTACTCAAAAAATTCAAAACAAAGGAGACTGAGAGACCATCCTCAAGTGAAAGCTCTACATCAGTACTTAGTGTATCAGATTGGAGGAAAATTGAACGCTTATTACATAAGGCTGTTGAAGACATCACCGATTCGAGGACCCGATAGCTCAGTCAGATAATCCATACAATGGCCGTTCGGACGACACTGTTACAGCACGAAAATGAGCAACTCAAAGAAGCTTTATTAAATGAGAAGAAGCGCTGACAGTGTGGAAAGCCTCTGCTGCTCGAGGCACCACAGGAGTACCATGGTGGCACGGTCTTCTGGTCGCCATCCAAGGTTAAGGATGCCCGCGCTCGACAGGCCCAAAAGGATGCCGATGAACGGTCATTGCAACAGCAAAAAATTCGGGAGGCAGAGCGCAGGAAGGCAGCAAAGCAGGAAAAAGCAGATATGCTTGAGGAGAAGCGCCATATGAGGCTGGCAGCAAAGGAGCTTCGGATCCAGCAACAGCAGAAGAAGACAGCTGAGTGTAAGGAAGCTCAGGTCGCTCGGGCAGCAGAAAAGCAACTCCGGTAGGACATACAATTGTCTAAAACGAGGGCCATACATAGTAAAAAGCTCGCTGCACCTCCTCCAGATGTCGTCAAGGAGCCTAAGGTTGATGATGTGGATGTAGCATCTATTGTAGATGAGGTGCCCGCATCTAGGCCTACAACACGTACCTGCAATATACAGCTCCCCCACCGTTATTGATAATAATTTATAGTTGTCAATTGGTTTGGACAGTGCCTTCGAGTGCCCTAACAAAAAATCTAGTGATTTTACTATCTGTATAGAGCTGTACAGCCTTTTTTGTTGTTGGTGTTCGGTGGCCGAAAGTGATCACCAGGTGGGGACGATCGCCAGGCGGTGAGTCACGGTATCGGCGCGTGCACGCTCCCCACCAAAATCGCCAAATCTTCAACACCCCATAACTCCACCAATATGGCAGCTATCGACTCAGCTCTTGCAGAAATTTTGTCGCTAGAACCTGGAGAGAAAGTTAATTATACGCAAATTGCAAAACAATTCGGTGTTAACTGCTCTACACTGTCACGACGCCACCGCGGGATTACTCAGTCAAATGAAGCCACCTTGGGAGATCGCCAAAATCTCAACCCCACACAAGAGAAACGCCTTGTAGCATATATTGAGGGACTTTGTGAGCGTGGCCTATCTCCTACGAGCCAAATGATATGAAACTTTGCAGCAGAAATAGGTGGAAAGTCTGTGGGAAAGTGCTGGCCTTCGCGCTTTATTGAGCATCACAAACTGAAGCTGATCTCATGCTGGGCCTTAGAAATTGACTCTACATGCCACCGAGCCGACTCTGCCTTCAAGTACTCTCTCTACTTCGAGCTTCTAAAGCATAAAATTGAACAATACGATATTGAGAGCTGTCATATATACAATATAGATGAGAAGGGCTTCCTTATTGGAGTACTCAGCAAGTCAAAAAGAGTGTTCTCTCACAGCCAATTTGAGCATGGGAAGCTTAAGGCTATACTTCAAGATGGCAATAGAGAGTGGATAATAGCGATAGCATGTATTTGCACTGATAGCTCAGCTCTTATGCCTGCCTTGATTTATCAGGTGGCTTCTAGCAAGATACAAGATATTTGGCTTCAAGATTTTGACCCTTCGATATACAAGGTGATTTTTGTATCCTCACCTTCTGGCTGGACGAATTACGATATCGGCCTTAACTGGCTCAAACAAGTGTTTGATCGAGAAACTAAGGCAAAGACTAGGCAATCCTATCACCTATTGATTCTTGATAGCCATGGATCTCAAATTACAATGGATTTTATTCAATATTACGATGCTAATAAGATACTTCTTGTGATATTTCCACCTCACAGTACCTATACGCTGCAGCCTCTTGACATCTGCATGTTCAGCCCTCTCGCTAGTACATACAGCGCCGGCCTCGCAAGCTTCATGGAGGGTTGCCAAGAGCTCTCCAGTATTATAAAAAGGGACTTTTTCCGCCTATTTTGGGCTGCATGGGATAGCTCTTTAACAGCAGCGACTATCCTAAAGGCCTTTGAGACCACTGGATTGTCGCCCTTCAATCCCGACAAATCCTCATCCGGTTCAGCTCTCCACCGGAGGAGCATCCATCGTCAAGTGAGAGCAGTTCATCAATACTTAGCGCAAGCGACTGGCGTAAAATTAAGCACCTTTTATATCAAGTTGTGGAGGATGTTTATGACTCTCAGGCAGCAAAGTTGTCACGTACAATCTACTCAATGTCTGTAGAAAATCAGTTACTTAAGCATGAAATTACTCAGCTTAGAGATGCTCTTTTAAATGAGAAGAAATGCCACCAGCGAGATAAGCCTTTGCTTCTTGAGGTGCCAGAGGAGTATAATGGTGGAGCTGTATTTTAGTCTCCTGCTAAAGTCCAGCATGCACACGATCTTCAGGTACAAAAGGATGCTGAGGAGGAGGCTCTATGGCTTCAAAAAGATGAGGAAAGCAAGCATAAGAAGGAGCTAAAGATTCAAAAGGCAGCTCTTCTAGAGCAGAGACATCGTGAGAGAGCTATTGCTAAAGAGGAGCATGAGCAGGAGTGTGAACAGAAGGCTCTCGAAGCTTAGGAAGCATGCAAGACTCATGTAATTGGGAAACAACTTCGCGATAAAATCAAACTTGCCAAAAAGGGAAAGCCGAAGAGCTTTAAGCCTCTAGAAGAAACTCTGCAGGATATTAAGGCTGTACAGCCTGAGATTTTGGAGGTTGAAGATGAGGTGTCCGAAATCGGGCTCTCAATGCGCACGCGCAAGATACGGCTCCCTCAGCGATACCGCTAGCAAATATTGTGCCTAAGCAATGCAATAAGCTTCTCTGATTGCTACTCTAAAAAATCTCGCGATTTTATAATATATAATAAGCTCTATAGCCTCAAGTTTGTGGGTGGTGCCCATTCTAAAAACGTGCACGCAGTGAGGCCGTGCACGCGCTGATTAAGCACGTTAGCAGAACACTAAGCCCGAAATAAACCTAGCGTGCTATTTCTCTCCTGAGCACCGTCCCGTCTTGATATTCCCCCAACACTTGCTTGGGCGAGCAATCAACTACACTATCCATGATATCATCAGCGTCTTCATCGAATAACGGAACTTAGAATTCTCCTCTGGTCAAGGGCGTCAGTCCATCCGACGTCGCCTATCGCGTGATTCGACAAATCCTTGGATCACGCAAGGGATCAAGCGAACGTCAGTTACTCACTAGGAATCTTGAGACTGCTCCCATGTATGGCATTTTCACACCCCCAGAGCTGCCTCAGGGCTTTCGAATTCAGAATTTGGTTTCTCTGGACCCCAAGAACCGGCAAAATGTGGTAGACAGGGTGCGCAAAATTGAACGGAAGGCCTTTCCATCCAGTGAAGCGTTTGATTTTGACGCTGAGCTCAAGAAGAAGAATACTTCCATGTTAGTCGTCACCAGACCTGACGAGCTTACCGAGGTGGTTGGATACTTGGTGTTCCTGCGAATGCGAAAGGTCGCTTTACTGCACAAGATATGCGTCGTCGAACACATGAGGCGGAAAGGTATCGGTAGATGCCTCATTCATTCTGTTCTGCTCCAATTAGAAAAAGGTGGCTGTCATAGCATACAGCTATGGGTTGACGAGGCTCGCAGCCCAGCCAGAGAATTGTACCAGTCATACGGCTTCCGAGAAATCGACCGCTGCGTCGATTACTACGGACCTGGGCGAACGGGCCTGAAAATGCAGCTATCTATCGAAAAATGAGGGCCGCAACCTGCTTTTTAGTGGTTGGTGGCTCGGATTCTGAGAGGTGGCAGGACGACGATGCACCCCTTGCGATACCGCCCTCTCATTCCAGTTCACGAACGCGAAGACGCGCCAGAGCGCGTTCGTAGATTCCAGTAATTGAAGAAAAGAGGGGTGGGCGTGCAAGATGGATTTCAGTCTCTTGCTCCCCGTTCCCATCGTTGCGCCATCGGACGTTTCTTCAACGCATGACTATGGCCGCCTACAGGTGGGTTGAGCCGAGTTTTCTGTCCCGATCCCTATCGCACATTGCTAATGACTGCTCAGGCTCATTGTGATGTGGGCCACGGCCACGGCCGTCTTACTCCTCGATCCAGTGGCTGCGGCGTCACCGCAGGTGAATTTCCCGCTCAACTCACAGTTTCCACCCGTTGCGCGTGTTGGACAGCCATACTTCTTCAAATTCGCATCTACGACCTTTCAACCAAAACCCGATGACCTGCAGTACTCCTTGATCGGTAACCCCTCATGGCTGGCCCTCAATGGAGAGAACCAAACACTATCGGGTACCCCTGGCGCTGGCGACATAGGAGAAATCACTTTCATCATTGCCGCCGCTGGCGAAGCTGGCGCCGTAGCCAATATGGAGTCGAGACTGCTTGTTACAGATGCCGAAGCTCCAATCGTAAAGCAGAACGTATCGGAAGATCTCGCTACGGCCGGTCCACTTTCCGGGCCGCAGACTTTGACTCTGGGCCCTTCCAAAAGTTTCGAGGTGAAATTTCCGAAAGATACCTTTTCAAATGTCGACAAGAATACAAAGTACTATGCTAGCCTGGCTGATCATACGCCACTTCCAGCGTGGATCAGCTTCGACGAGGCGTCATTGCGGTTTGCAGGGATAACTCCTGCGATCGTGATGTCGGCACAGACATACGATATGCTGCTCATTGCGTCTGACAATCCTGGGTTTGCGGCGGCGACTATGTCATTCAGCCTTGTCATCAGCTATCATCAACTGTCATTCAATCCCCTACACCGGGAGATCATTCTTGCCAAAGGAGACCAGGTCAATATCACGGGCTTGCTGAACTTCCTTTTCATGGACGGGGCGCCAATGCGAGAGCAGGATATCAAATCAGCTTCCGCCATTCTTCCTTCCTGGCTGTCATTCAATGATCGAACACTGGAAATAGCTGGAAAGCCGCCCTCTGGACTCATGTCCCAGGATATCACTGTCTCCGTTGAAGACGTGTTCGGCGACACAGCAGAGCACTCAATCCACCTGCTTTTCAAATCTCAACTCTTCCGGAACCAGATCGGAACGTTGAACATAACTGCGGGGAAGCCCTTCGAATACCAGATTCCTTCTTCAGTTTTCCTCAATGTTGACGAGACCGTCAGTCTTGACTTCGGGCCTCTATCTGAGTGGCTCAAGTTTGATACCAAGACGCTCATCATAAGTGGCTCAATTCCGGAAAACTTCAAAGCTGGCAGCGTTGAGGCCATGCTCTCTGCGACTTCAGCTGATGGCAAGTTACATGACTCCCAAACTTTCCTCATTCAAGTCCTGAGCGCCGAGAATGGCGAAGGCTCAATTGCTGGAGGGGCGGGCACGCAAAGGCCCAATGCTGCTGGCCCCGACTCTGATGCTTCTAATTCCCACCATCATTCGAGGTCGAAGGCAGGCATCATTGCTGGGTCCGTGGTAGGTGCCGTCATTGGTGCCATGTTATTGTTCGCCTTCGGGTGCATATTGTGCAGACGCAAAAAGAATACAAAGGGGTATTTCAGCCCTAGAAGCCCACGAAGCCCGAGGAAACAAGACATCTCACGACCGATTATGATACACGATGACTGGGACACTACAGATAGGGAGATGGAACAGGACCTGGAGAAAGGCGACGCTTCCTTGGACTCAACGCCAGAAGGCCTTCCTCAACTGAAACTCGACTTGGCCCCAAGTCGCGATATCAGCAAATCGCCTGTTAGTTCGATTGGCGAAGGCGAGTCTAAGATTCTCAGCGACTTTGCCGAGTCCGACTGGGGTATGAAAGATGAAGCTGGACCGTCACACCGTCCCCATGACTCAATGAAGATTCCAACTGCCATAGCGAGACGGGAGTCGGATTTTTCGACCTCGTCTAAGAAGCATCGCCGCCGTACCACGATGGTGTACCGTGATTCTCAACGCAGCAACGGCTTACCTGTCAACCGACGCCTGAGCGGGCTAGGCCACGGATGGCACGCATATTCGCCTTCCCGGAGTAACAGTATATCGGAAGCTCGACGCACGCTCAGCTCCAACTCCACACGCACCGTCTCTACGAGTATCCTCTCCACGGTACCTTCTGCTCACGCCCGGCCGCTCGCAACTCGACATACCACATCCTTAACAACGCCAATGCACAAACGTTGCAGCATCCGTGTGGTGTCAAAGAATGCGTCTACGTGTGCGAGTCTGAGAGAGCACCCTGACGAGGACGCGAGCTGCAAGCGATCCGAACAGAGTCCCAAGACGATGTACGACAACCTGGCGGACCGTCGAACATTAGCCGAAAAGAGGCAGAGCTATATTCGGAAGAGAGCTTCTGCTCAATCGCCCTTTCCATTCTTTGGGGCAAGTTCATCCAGGGTTTCTTCCTCGAGTTACAAGCCGCCTACCAGCGTAAGCGCTGATGACGAAACAGGCGTACGGCCATCCCCTTCTCCCCTGGCCACCAGCACTTTCGCAGATGTTGCGAAAGACAAGGCGCAAAATCAAGGGAGTGGGCTGCCGGAATGCTTGAGAATAAGAAAGCCATCGGATACTCCAACTGTAGAAGAGCAAACGAAATTTCCTGGTAGCCTACACAAACCGCCGACTGCCAGATCGTTCACAGGTCGACAACCTAAATCCCCCGCGACAGTAACGGACCGCGATCGGGTGTACAAACGCTATCAAATGTCAAACACTACAGGTCAGGACGCAAATAGCGGTAGACGGTCGAGCGTCCGTGAGAGTGTGCGCGCACAGGCGTTGAAGGCTAGCTTGAACAGTCTCACAGGGAGCAAGATCTTCGAAGACGCGGAGGCGAGTGAGAGCGCATATTCGTCAGAAGAAGAAGTAATCGAGGAGTACGAGAAGCGAACCACGGCCAAACCTAGTCAATTCCCTCTGCCCCCGCTGGACCTCTACCGCCTCAGACATAGTAGGAGGAATAGCAAGCAAGAGGACAAGGAAGCGAAGGATGGACATAGACGAGAGCTGAAGAAGATCAGCCAGAGAGATCCCACTCCCTACCCCTTCGACAACGAACACGGAGGCAAAGAGAATGAGCCTCACACTCTGAACCACGCCGTCCGGGCTTCAACACCTAAAGACAAAGCCAAAAGCAAACCAGTCAACGTGTGTCGCTCACCCGAACGACCCAAAACCATTGCCTCCACGACCTCTCGTTCCAAGCTCACATCGCGCCACTCCCGCTCCAACTCGCGAATAACCACCCGATCCAGTACCCAACGCCGTCCCCTCTCCCGTCAACCTTCGAATCGCTCTCGACACTCACGGACGCAATCTACCACAGCTGGAACTTCTCGACCTCCGTCTCGCCACTCCACCACGGCGGCCAAAGCGGGATGCGATCGTTCACGCACTCAATCATCGGCTTACCCCTACTTTGACATTTCCACCCTCCCAGACACGCTCAGAGATCCCTCCAAGCCGTCTCAGGAATCTGACAAACCGCTCGTGAAGCCCGAAATGGGCACCATGGCCTCGCTCATTACGCGAGATGTCGACGGGAACATCCTGAACTACGGCCTCCATGAGCGTCCTACGATTGAAGAACTAGCGTCCACCTCGATAGGGATGCGCGCTTCCAAGGGAAAGCTTAGTTCTTCGGCACGAGAGAGCAGGTTAGCGCAGGAAGCGAATAAGCGTGATGGTGCCGAGAACAAGAAGCGCATTTCGACGAGGGGCGAAGGGTCGAAGCGGAATACGGTTATCGTACGGCCAGGCGTGTCGTCGCCGGTAGAGCCTTCGTCGTCACCGGGTCCGTTGGTGGGACAGGCTGCGTATTCTGCTGGGTTGGGATTGAGTCTGGGGCGGCTCTTGGACGGTGGGACTGATACAAGCATGGGGTTATCGCTAGGTGGTAGGGAAGACACACCCGGCGCGTTTACCATGTCGGACGTGGACGCGAATAGCGAATGGGTGCGCGAACGCACTCCGCTCAGCGTGCTGGATGACGGGAATGGCGGTAGCCCTGAGCGGCTGCGGGTTGTGGAGGGCAAGGGCAAGAGGCCGATCAGTAAGGAGGTGGATGAGGAGTTGAAGGTTGGGGCTAGTCGCAAGGCGAGGACGACGACTTGGGGCAGTTTGAAGAGGTTGGGCATGGGGTGGGGGTATTGGGAGGGGAGGGAGAGGGAGAGGGAGAGCAAGGCTTTTCTGTAAGGGATGGGTCATGGTCTGGTGGTTTTTCCTTTTTGGCTTTGTTCTGTATTTGGCTTCTTTTCGGGGGGGAAGTCTAGAGGACATAGTCAGAGGGCGACTTTCGGGCCGTTTAAGGTGCTGTTGGTTTTGACGATTGGGCATACAGGACAACAGAGAGGATAGGGACGGTTGATTTACTGATTTGGCGGATATAACATGATATCCGGAAGGTCTCTTTCGTTTTTCGCCGTGTGCGGCGTTCACCCCAACAGTGACTGATGTCGAATATGAGTAGCCCCTCCTACTGTACAGTTATGTGCCAGTGCGCAGTTCACTCCAACACGACGTATTCGTGTCCAGGCTATCAATTAAATAAGTGAGCTCTAATGGTAACAATCATCTCGCTATCCAAGATTTCCAATCCCTTTTATACTGGAGATGCCAATATATATCCGGCAATTACTGTAAACCCCCACGCCGGTAATGCAAATGCCACCGAACTCCCACAATATGTCCAACCCATCTCGAGACTCCATGTCCATCTCTTGCAACCATATACCGGAATCGAGTCTTCCGTCACTCGACCGATTATATATGTGGTAGTACACACATTAACTCTTCATGATGCATGATTTTCCCATACGTCTTCACCGATTCCCTCCTTTTGTGCTCCATATCTCTTCCCAATGCTCAGTACACCAGCCATTCACATATGATCTACCTCCACGAATCTCCCCCTAATCGGCCTCTTCCTCCCATTGCCATACCCAATCCCTCCACTCGAGACATCACCATCAGACCCCCTACTTCTTGGACTCCCGCCGTCGGCACTAGGAGCCAACCCACCACTCCCTCTCACCGGTACAAGCTGCGCATAGAACTGCGCTGGGGTATTGCACGTGCTGCGCGGAATGGGCGTGTGTGCACCGCCGCTGTAGGCAGCACTTTCGGGGCTGCTCGGTATTCGGTCGGGTGTCGAAGGGTGGGAGCGAGTGATCGGATCGGGTGGGGGCGGATAATAAACTTGCTGATTCTCCTGTTGCGGAAGGAGTGGTATGGAGGGGTGGGAAGGTGAGGAGCTGGGTGGTGGATATGAGTATTGGCGCTGGTGGAGAGGTGGCGAAGGCTGAGGGTAGGCGTGTGGGTCATAGGTTGTATTAGAGGAATCCGAGTGAAGAGGGTATCCAGCTTGCGGGTAGACGGCCGGGTTCTGGGCAAACTCGGCTGCATACGGTGAAGGGAAGGGCGGAGGGGTGCTTGGTGTCATAGACTGATAGGCCAGCGGAGCATACTGCCATGTTGGAGAGATGGGATCGCTATGTGAGCGCGAATGAACAGAGAGGCTTCCTGAAATTGGAAGGTGAGTATTGGTATCATGGGACTGCATGGTCATATATTTTGCCGCACCTGGGGAGGTCATCTCGGGGACGGGTGATGTTGCTGCCAGTTCCACTGGAGGTGGCGTTGGAGCTTTTAATTTTCCGTCCTTCTGCTTCTTCGCCTTCCTGTGACGACGGTGCAGGCAGAACAGGATAAGGAGTAGTATCGCAATGAGCGCCACTAGACCTCCGACCGCGCTACCTACAATGGCTCCCACGCTGACCTTACGACCTCTTGACGGCGAAGCTGTTGCGGTAGGGAGAACACGAGTCGCTGTTCGGGCGGAGAAGGAGGGGACACGTGTGAAGTAGACTGCTAGATCAATATGGTCCCATGAAGGTGGCTTGGTCACTGTGGCGTCGCCGGTAGGCCTGTTTACAATCAGTATAAATGTAGAAAAAGCCATGCTGTTTGGCACGAAACTCACCCTCCGCCTATCACACTTATAACAGGCGTAGGTACCGCGTATGCGGACAGCTTGGGATCGTACTTATCCCAGAGATCCTGTTGTGCCCCGTTATAACCCAAATTCATGTTATGCTGGCCCCAGCCGTCAGGTGTGTCGCAGTCTTGTGTGTTCGGGAACCATCCACCAATTATGATCATCTGGTCTCTTTTGACAACGGTAGCGGAGCATCCGCCGTGACCATAAACGCTTGTGGTGTTTTCAGCCGGCCATGCTTTGATCCAGGTAAACGATGGTATTGAAAGTATGTACGCATCATCGAACGCTGTGGTATTGCCTTGATCGGTCGAAAAACCACCATATAAATGTATCTGATAGGATGTGTGATCGTCCGCCCAAGTGGCGCCAGCGCAGAATTGTCGACGCGAAGGAGGCACCGTTCCACCAGCTGTCTGCGTATACCATTTCGAAGAAGAGATGTCAAATATGTGGATCTTGCTCATATTGGCTCCGATAAGGCTCCCATTTTGCCCGCTTGCTTCCACACCGCCAAAGTACACGAGGAGGCCACCGTCGGACGCAGGCAGATAATGCAAGGACCCCTCAGACCTTCCAATCGAATCCGGTCCACTGCTATTCGTGAATATACCGCGTGTGAAATCGTAAGTAACAAAGTCGCTAGTCGCAATGGCATCCCCGGTCCAGTCTGGCGAGGTATGGTTGTTTAGATATCCCCCGAGGTAATAGCCACGCCCGAGTTCTTCGACCTGTGTGCCGGCGCCGAAAGACACGCGTTGCAACGAGTTTACATTGCTTTCGTACTTGGTTTCGTTCCATTGGTTGAGCAAAGTATCATATGCCCAGAAAGAGAACTCCTGTGGGACATTTTGGAACTCGCCGCCGTAGAGATAGAAGCATTTGTTGACCTCATCCGACCACAGAACGCCACCGAAGACGTTCGGAACCCTATTGTCCTTGGTTAAGTTTGCATACTGCATTGGCATCCCCACTTGGTTCGTCGTATTCAAGTCGCTATAAAGAAGCCATGTATCTGTAGGCAGGCGTCAGGCACAGGGCTATCCCAGCCAGATGTGATTCACGCACTCGTGTAATTGAGAGGATTTGATGACAGTGGCTTCCAGGCCACAAGGCCGCCGTCGATGTAGAGTTTGCCATCGACGTAGGCGGTCTGGTGGGCCCAGCGCCTGCAAAAGTCGTTCAATGGGTCTTTCGAAGCCTGTAGGGACGGTGTAGCAAAGAGAACCGCTGCGAAGGAACATAGGCGTAGCAAGGCCATGATCCGGGATCATGTCGCCCCGGCCAATCTATGCGAACATGAGTCTGCGAAGATGGGGTATGTTCTGCAACGGAGCAATGAGGAAGCAGATGGGAAGCAAAAGCTCCGACAGCCTGGAGCTGGGATGGACGGGTCAATAATGACGGGGCTGAGGTCAAGCGTCACCAAGCTCCATCGGGTGTACTCTGCCCCTCTCTGACTGCGAGCGCCACTGGGCGGAACAACCAGTTGTGCTGAGACTCGTATACGAATAGTGCTGTTTTTGGTTTGAGGGACAACGGCCCACGTCACATAGGTATGCGCCAATAGCGCTGGGTGCATTCGGTTGCGCCACAGGTACAAGACGTCCACAGTCACATGGGCGAGCAGATATCAAGTTGGCAGTTCTCAATGGTGAATCGCGATCGCCGATGGAAGCGTCCTGTGTCGCAGAAATTCGCCTTCTAGGATTGGGCGGACGTGTTGGATTTCACATAGTAAGGTGCCGAAAGAGAGCCCTCACTATAATTGACTCTCGACGATAAACACAGAATAAGAAAAGTTCCGTCTGGATTCGAAGCGGCTGGTACGAAGAAACAAGCTTTGATGCATGCACATACGAAGAACGATTGGGTGCCGAGAGCGGATGAGCTACCTTTTCAGCTCTGCCGGATCGCGACGTCAATTGGTGAAACCACTGCACTGCTCAACAGCCGTTCAGAGTGGCATAAGCGAGTGATGATCTCTGTCACTGTTGTTCCGTGCAGGATACCTTGTCCAACAACAATTTTAGATCTATCCCTTTGATGGCCTGATTGCCTTGTGCGACTGGTGTGATACGGTACCGCTCATGGAGCCTGAATTTCGTGACGTTGAGTGGCAATGGGAACCGTGCTCGAAACACCATCGGACCTCCAGAACCCTAGCCAGATTGAGTCCCAGAGCATGAGTTTGAATTGGTGGTGATGCGAGCATTCCAGCTATCGAGATGTGCGCATAGGGTTTGGTCTGGATGAGGTTGGACAGCTGTGGTCATATTACTGCGAGTATCGAACGGGTTCTTCCGACGAGACTGCACGTGGCGGAAAACACCACATCGCATGGCGGTCGTAAAGCAAGGATGTAGTGATGGAACTGACTTGGACGACCAGATACAGCGTGGGATCCAGAGAGATATATGTAGGCCTAAAGCGAACCTAGAGCTCCGAGACCAGCTCGGAAGCCGGCGAAATCGAGCCCCAGGATTAGAACAGCCGGACATCCTTCTTGGTCCGTTATAAGCAGCGAGATCATAGAGAAGGTGAGATTCGCTGCGAATAGGAGAACAGACCGACGATATGTATGAAGAAGAAAGAGAGATGGGATGGGAACGGCAACAGATAGATATTTCGGAGTCCTTGGCGCCGCGCTAAACTCCGTTTGTTAACGTGTTCCGAAAGAGGAAATTCCTCCAACACCATCATCTTCAACTGCCGTATCTACATTATGAGGATGTGTAGAACAATCTTGAGTGAATATTTAGGTGCAAATATGCTCGAGGCAGAGAGCCTTTTCCTCCTCTTACACGAATCTTCCGCCAAAGCATGTGCTTGAGAATCGCAATGCCAATCAAGGTCTACTGCCTTGTATAATCCTGCGGTAATTCGGGTGTGCATATACACGGTATCTAGCTTAGGCACACCTTCCGAAGTAACAGAGATTGGCTTCGTTGACGGACATTGCCCACGACTTTACGATGCTGACTTCGCCTGTCACGTGCAAGATACTACGTTGAATGTTTACAGTTTCCTGTACCTGCCATACCAGAGGATCATTTATTCGTATCAGACAAGATAGCCGGTGAAAGGCATGCGCTTATGCTTAAGCAATCACCAAGTAAGTGCTCGATTCTCTTTTCGTACATGCTTTTCAGCATTCTTTTTGTCTTGTTTGGAGGGTAGCAGTTGCCTGAGGCCATCGACTCTACACTCGAGCGTATCCTGCCCCTTTGTTACTTTCAAAGAGGAGCGTACAGCATATTGAAGCCAGTAAGCTTCCCCTCCCTCAGATACCAACCCATTCATCCATGCTACATCATGGTGTGATATAGTACGTCACAGCTGCCTCCTCATCCACGCGCTCAAACTGGTAGGTATCTTGGTTGTTTCAGCAAGGGTAAGCTGCAATTCCATCAACCTGCAGCTTCACGATAGAAGGCGATGTTCTGATTTCCACCTCCTAGGGCAAACATCTCGCTCCGACCGGCAACCTTTGGTAACCATTTCGCCGACCATAAGGGTTTATCACCATGAGAGTGTGTGGCGACGCATGTGCGGGTTTCGATGCGCCATATTTTGGCTTTCGAGTCGTGGGATCTGAGTGGAAATGTTAGCAATGGGTTCCAATCAAAAACCGTTTCGCCACCGCAGTGATATTTGAAGTGATCAAACGTACGCAGAAAGCAAATATTCTCCAGTGTCGCTCCAATCCACACTTAATACCCAGCCGCCATGTCCCGTGAGATTCGCAACCTGCTCGCCAGAGTTGACATCGTATAGAGCAATGATCCTCGCATCACCAGCAGCTGCTAACAGCTTCGACGCAGGGCTAAACGCTACGGACCGCACTGGATGTACGAGACCCGCGACAGAATGTGACAAACGGCTTGTGTCGTTGTTGAAGATGTATATGCTGCCGTTCTCATGGCCGGAGGCTGTGAAGCGGCCATCCGCGCTCTGGACTCTCTGTCAGCAAATCTGTATATCCGTTGAAGGTAGCATAGAATTCGGAAAGCAGGCACTTACCAGATCCACACACAGGCCGAAGCTGCCCTTGGTCTCATACTCCCTAATCTTCGGCATTCCCTGCTGGTCCAGCGCCCACACATTCACTTTCCCATTGATGCTCGAGCTAGCGAGATAGTTCCCATCAGCACTGAGCGCGATCGCCCACACGTCGCCGGGCTTATTCCCATCTGTTATCATCAGCTAGTGACCTCTTATAACCACCTCCTTTCCTTTACAAGGAGAGAAGAAAAAAACAGGAGGGCATACCCACCCACAATTTCTCCGTCCAAGCTCCACTCTCCATTCTCTCCCTCCGCACTCCATATCTTGACCTTCCCTTCAAATCCCGCACTCGCGGCTCTCTGTGCTTCTCTCGCGGTAACGAGATGATGGATTCCGAGCGGATGTGCGTTTTCGAGTGTCTGTACGAGTGGGAAGTCGGATTGCGTGGTATCATAGATGTTTATGCTGCTGGCCCCGGAGGCGGAGAGGAGACGGGTTTTCTTGGGGGCGAGGGCAAAGATGTCGGAGGGGTGGGCGGAGGTTAGGGTGTGGAGGGTTAGGTATTGCTTCGACTGGTAGTGGGGAGGTTAGCTGTGGGTTTGAAGCTCGGTGAACAAAAGGGTAACGTACCATCCTGAAGGTATTGGAGCCTGACTCTGGTGTTCAATGATAAGGAAAGAAAATGAGTGCAAATGTGTTACGGAGCCATAAGAGACAAATTATAAGACACTCGGATTCCTTGACGTAGGTAGCAAGCTGTTCCAATTGCAACGCGAGCTCGGCGGGACCTGGACGCGAAGTCACACCCCTGTCCACCAGAGAGCGCTCCCCGCCATGCAAACATTGCAAACAAATTTCTACGAGCATCCTTCACCGCCAATCGCACACCGACGCCCCTCGGCGAGTGTGCGGATAGATAGTTTATCAATGTCTCCTCCATGCCGTTGACTCTCCCCCGAAATCCAGCGTTCTTCCGCACCGCAATCCTCGACCAGTCATTCATTCGAAAGAACATTTCCCTCGCTCGAACTCATCCTTCATTCTCGGAAGCGACACCCCGTCCTCATAAAATTCCCGCCGCACCTCACTCTTTCCTCCTCCCAGCTGTCGCCTTCACAACCACCACCATGCCTCCAACAGACCCTTCTTCCCTCCCTACCTCGGCCCTCACCAAACACCGCCCCATCGTTATATCCGGCCCCTCCGGCGCCGGCAAATCCACCATCCTCAACCGCCTCTTCGCCGAATACCCCAACCGCTTCGGCTTCAGCGTATCGCACACGACGCGGGCTCCTCGGGCGGGCGAGCAGCACGGCCGTGAATACTACTTTGTTTCTCCCGAAGAGTTTGGCAAGTTGGTGCAGGAGGGCGGGTTTGTGGAGCATGCGACATTTGGGGGCAATCAGTATGGGACGAGTGTGGAGGCTGTGAGGAGGATTGCTGAGGAGGGGAGGGTGTGTATTTTGGATATTGAGATGGAGGTATGTCTAACGTCTCCGCCCTCATCTATTTACGCAGTTGTCACCATTGAAGGCTTCCCATCCTCTTCCATTCTCTCTCTCTCTCTCTCTCTCTTTTGACAAGCGTCGCTGACTTTTCTTCAGGGTGTCAAACAAGTAGCCAACCACCCCACGTTTCCCAGACCCCGCTTCCTCTTCCTCTCGCCTCCCTCCCTAGAGATCCTCGAGCAGCGCCTCCGTTCCCGTGCTACAGACAAAGAAGAAGCAATTCAAAAGCGGCTCAAGCAGGCGAAGGTAGAGATGGAGTTTGCCAGGAGTCCAGAGGCACCGCATGAGAAGATTGTGGTGAATGATGACTTGGAAAAGGCGTATCAGGAAGTCAAGGAATTTATTGTTGGGAAGGATGCGTAAATAGGCATAAGAAGCGAAGAGGGTCGAGGCTGAGGGGATAGAGAGGCAAAAGGGAATGTAGTATGATATCACAGCGCTATAGATGTGTATGAGAATATGGCAGGCGTTTTATCCTGCCTTGGATAGCAACTTCGCTATAAATGTCGCCGCCAGGTCTGCGAGGATCATATCCCTTCTCAGGGAATTGATGGTAGAGGTCTTTTCGAGCCTGCACGGCCACGATCATGATGGAAGGAGACTGCGTTCAAGCCCGTCTCCGAAAGATTGGCTGGGACAAGTTGCAGGTGGTCCAGCCCTCGCTGATTAACCCTCAGCATGGACGACTAGACGAATGGCACCCTTAGCATCACATGCAAGTCCACTATATACCCAACCCCGGCAGGAGCAAAAGTCATTCTCATTCATCAGATACCGTCGTAGGCAAATGTGTAACAGCAACGACCACCTTGCCACGTAGGGCCCAGGCAGTCTCAGGGCTTGACTCTATTTGCGTCTTCATCACCTGAACTCGAATGACTTTTGTCCGTGCTCCCTCTGCGAGTGCAGCTTGATGAATCCGGCTTGTTCGACCAAGCACCGGAGAGCCTACGTCAGAGCTTGCATCCCAGCCCAGCCAGCATGGACCAGACCAGAACGCCCAAAGTCTGCAATAGCTATCCTCGGATCCGAAAATGAAAAAGGCTGGCGGTTCCTCGCATCAAGAATAAGCCCCATTGAGTGACCCTCAAAGAACTCCTCATATACCTGAGGAGCAAGAGAGCAATCGCGGTGACTACCAACTGGACGAAAAAACCCACTCACAGTCATCCCGGTTGACACCGCACCACTTCCCTCCTCAACCCTCCAGCTCCAAGCCAAAGAACCGGACCTTGGATGTAGCGGACTCATATCGTCGTCCGGGGCCACACCTTCGGGACGGCCTAGAACTCAAAGCCAGAAAGAAGAGTACAGACGGGAAACGGGGGCCGGGACGATGGGAATCGTGAGGGCGCGCGCTTTTGTGGCGGTACGTGTTGCTGTAATTGCCATTGCAAGCAATGGATGTCCGGGGACTTTCTCCCAAAGCGTTGTGTGAGAGACGTTCTAGTCGGAAAACCAGGACGCTCCGTGTGTAAGCTTCGATGCGATTCTTTGACGAGGAACTGCGGAGGAAGAAAAGAGAGGGAAGCGAGCGATGCGGTTTTGATGCGGAAAGGAAATTTTGTCGGGCCGAGAGTATTTCCGTGTAGCCAAGGCTAGGCTGAAAGGGGATGGGTGCCTCTCTTGCCTGTTGCTGCTGCAAGTGCCTGTGCGTTCCGCGGTTTCTTTCACAGCTTCGTTGAAGCCAGCACCGGTCATTGTACTTATAAAGACGCTACGGCGCGTTTTTAGTATCTTTGTTACTTTGTCAATCCTTTGCCCTTGAGTCCCGAAGACTTGCCTCAAGAGAGAAACCTTGGACCATAAGGTGCAGCCGAGTCTTCGAGCTTTCGCAGCCATATCAACATCGCACCATAGCTCTCCCACCGAAACACTCCACGCGCACCACCTACAGCCGCAACCACGACCACCACAGCGTTATAATCTCGCACCTGAACAATAACCATGGCCGGTCTCTTTGGCAGTACGCCCGCCGCGACTGCCACCTCCACAACAGGTGACATCAGCAAAGACGTCGACGTTCCCAATCCACCCACAGACGGCATATCCGACCTCATGTTCTCGCCGACAGCGGATTTCCTCGCCGTGTCAAGCTGGGACCAGAAGGTCTACATCTACGAAATTACCAGCACCGGAGCAGTAGGGAAGTGGTTCTTTACCTGCAAGGGCGCAGTTCTCGGGGTCGCTTGGTCGACGGTACGTTCTTCACATGATTCTTGTAGCTATGCTTGACAGGATTGCGTATATCTAGGGTTACTAACAAGATATCTAGGACGGCACACGCGTAGCCGGCGGCGACACGGCCGGTAACGTCTGCATCGTCGACCTCCGCAATGCCCCCGCCTCGGGCGAAATCCAGGCCCAAATCGCCAAAGCGCACGAGCAACCCGTCAGATCCGTCCGCTGGTTCAACTACAACAACACCGAGATCCTCGCGACGGGGTCCTGGGATAAGACGGTCAAGATGTGGGACCTCCAGAGCGCGAATCCGCTCGCGACGCTGGACTGCGGAGAGCGCGTGTACACGATGGACGTGAAGAAGTATCAGAATCGGCACTTGATGGTGATTGGGACGGCGGAGAGGCATATCCATATGGTGGATTTGAACAACCCGGTCAAGATTTACAAGACGATTACGAGTCCGTTGAAGTGGCAGACTCGAGTTGTGAGCTGCTTCACCGACGCTTCTGGTTTCGCTGTAGGGTCCATTGAAGGACGCTGCGCCATTCAGTATGTCGACGACAAGGACGTTGCGTAAGTTCCCTTTTTTCACTTCTCCAAGACGGCTACCAAGACTCCAGCTAACATTTCCTCCCGCAGCCTCAACTTCTCCTTCAAATGCCACCGCCAACAAGACACAGCCGACCGCAACATCGCCAAAGTCTACTCGGTCAACGCAATCTCGTTCCACCCGCAACACGGCACCTTCTCCACCGCCGGCAGCGACGGAACGTTCCACTTCTGGGACAAGGACGCCAAGCATCGCCTCAAGGGCTACCCGGATGTCGGCGGCTCTATAACCGCCACGGCGTTCAGCAAAGACGGGAACATTTTTGCTTATGCGGTGAGCTACGATTGGAGTAAAGGGTACAGCGTCAATACGCCGAGCATGCCGATCAAGATTCGGTTGCATCCGATCACTGGGGATGAGTGTAAGCCTCGGCCTGGAGCGAAGAAGCGGTAGACGATGAGGGGTGTTGGTTGGGGGAAGAATGGGGGATGAGGAGTAGGACATGAAGAGAAGTAATGATGATGCTAATGTTGAGTTTTGTTTGCCAGTTTCCCGTCCCCCAACAAAGAACGCGACGAGATCACATCGTCCCAGTCTGGGTCTTCTGCCTCGCATTACGTATGGGCGTTGAGTGGGCGGTCACGGCGGCAGCGGAGCGGCGAAGCAGCATTCGAGTATCTTTCATCCTTGGCATCTTGCATTCTTCCTTTCGACGACTCGTCTTCTTCCTCCTGTCGGTGTAACTGTATCGAGCGAGTGACGGAGAGACGAAGAAATCTATGCGCGGCGTTTCTGGCGAAGAGGGGGGAGTTTTCAATCATTCGAGAGGGTAAAAGGGTACCTATGTCCTGTTCTTTGGGCTGGGCTGCATACTGGGTTTTGCATGATGGGGTTTGTTATTTCTTTCTTTTGAACTTGGGGTGGATGAAGGGAGTGAGGGAGGGAGGGAGTAAACAGGGTAGATATAGACGCTGGACGATGCTTTTGACACCTCGACGGCCCTGGAATCGAAGAATCATGTGAAAGATGTGTAACTATGTGAATTAAGACGACGGCGTTTATGGTTGTGAAATCCACTTTGAGAGGTTGGTGATTCCGCTATGAGTTGGTCTTCTCATGATTTCGCCTGCTCTACTATGGTATTTACTCTAACCAGGTCTACCGCTTCCACGTGGTAACTAAATATACAATGAGACAGGATGGAACCACTGCCCTGCCACATGGACACACTCATTCCTTCTTTCTTTCTTCGAATCTAGCCATCAGCGATGCAATCCATGTACAGACAGACCAAGAGAAAAACGCGATGCCGGCCATGTATGCCGGATATATCATACACTTCTCATTTCCCTCTCCTCTCCTCGCCCTGTCCAAAACTCGCTGCTTCTCCCTACAATTCCCGCCTCTGTCGCTATCTCGAAACAGCCCTCTAATGACCCCAGGAGCACCTTCTCTCTATCCTCTTACAGCGGTAACTCCAACGCCGTCTATCTCTTCTCTTATACTCTTATACAAATCCCAGAGCTCAAGATAATCCTAAAAGATCTTACAAGGGCACCGGCACCGTCTTCGCGGGATGTCCTTCGGGCGGGGGCGTAATCGAGCTGGGCACCACTTCTGCAAGCGTCATGGGGCTCGTAGGGAAGGGCTTGCCAATGGCATCTTGGACGCGAACGACCTGGTTCTTTGGGCCGGGGACGCAGCCTTTGTATCATCCCGTCAGCTCGTATGCTCAAATTCCCACAAAAAGACAGATATATGCGTACCGTGAACAACAACAATCCCATTCGCCTCGTCGACCTGCAGCACCTTGAGGTTCTTGACCGTTACGTGCTCGTTGCCCATGCGCCCGGGCATGCGCTTGCCCGGGTGCACGCGCGAACCGGAGCCTTGACTACCGCCTGCGGAACCCATGCCGCGGTGCATGAGCGATTGACCGTGGGAAGCGGGTTGGCCGCCGAAGCCGTGGCGTTTCATTCCCTGGGAGGGGGGTTACATTAGTCTGATTCTTCTCTTTCCTTTCTGAACTCCCAGTTTGAGATCTTGCGCCAAAGGGAGATATAGGGATCCAATACTTACACCCGCAAACCCCATTCCCCGACTCACGCCCTGAACATCCACCCACTGCCCCTCGCGAAACCAACTCGCCCCAATCATCTCCCCCGGCAACACGCCCAACCCTTCCTGGCCCCTCACCTTGAACTCGCCCACCCACCTCTTGGGCCCCACCCGCGCAACCGCAAAATGGCCCAGCATCGGCCTCGTCGTGTTGCCCACGTCCTTGCTCCCTGCCCCGATCTGTACCGCCCAGTACCCGTGCTTGTCGCGCGTCTTGTGCATGAGCACCTCGTTGCGGTCGAACTGGAGGATCGTGCATGGTGTTCGTTTTCCCGTTTCCGGGTCGTACACGCCGCTCATGCCGCGCTTGATGCCGAAGAGGCCGGTGCGGAGGGGGGTGCTGTGGGCTTTGCGCTCGAGGGCGGCGGTCGAGGTGGCTTCGAGGGGGGGAGTTTTGTCAGAGAGGTGGTTGAAGCGTGAGGCGCGTGGCTCTTGCGTGGATTTGAATTTCATGACGGTGCGGATCGAGGTGTAGGTGTAGGATGCGGGTGGAAGTGTTGAGGTTGAGAGGGCGGGCGTGGGGACGTATGAGGCGGCGATTTGCGGGAGGAGGGACCGCGTGGAGGATGGGAGGAGGAAGGTTGGGGGTAATATGCCCCAATTGAGGGGTGGTTTCGGCGGCATGGTGGAATTGGGTTGTTGTGGATGCGATGAAGATGGTTAGAGGTGTTGCTGGGAGATTTTTGGGGTGCCTGGTCCGAGCTTTGATGCCAAGGATTTCCTTTTCGGGCGGTGGATGCTGCCTTTGCAACGTCGGCAATATGTATGCTTTCTCATGAGAGTGAGTATAAGATTCAGTTGCTTGACATCAGAAACCCAGAATAGGGGAGATTTTCAGGTTGCTAGTCTACACATGGATGTTGAAGGACGGAGATAACAGGTATAAGCTTAACTATATTTCGCTACCGCTATACGAGCAAAGATAAAGCAAAGGCCGTCTCATACTGAATACCACCGGCATAGCAGATGTTTCCCAGTAGACTACACATGCAGAAAGGAGGAAAAAGGAAAAGAGAAGAGAGGGCCCTTTCAAGTCGCATGTCTGCCTCCATGTCACAGGGAAGCCAGACATCTCGGCCCAGGCCATTCCAAGAACCCGTTCAGAACCGACACGCCGGAAATCCCACCCATGATACCCGTGCAGAACCCAAGGAAATAGAATCAGGAACAGGCCGAGCTAGGCTAACATTTTCGGTCGCCAGGACAGGAAAGAGATGAGCCGTGGTGGTCAGACTGCCATGATGCAAAGGAAGAAGAAGCAGGCAGGGGCCTGTAGGGACAGTATGAAGGGAAGTCTATGACTTGGTGGTGGTGGTGTTTTCTTGCTGTTGCGGCTGCTGCTCGTCCTCGAAGTCGTCGGCGCTTGCCTCACGGTGTAGGCTGGATTCGCGGTGCAGGAAAGCGTGCTCCTTGACGGGACTGGCGCTAGCTTGATCCTTGTTCTGGCCGTTGTGAGTGTTGCTGCCGTGCGGTGATGCGAGTGGAGCTATGTGCGGGATCTTCTCGGGTACAGGATGCTCGCGACCGATTTCAGTGAGGCCGAGATCTGAGGCTTTGCCGGCCTTGGAGAGGGCATAGTCTCCGCTGTCGAAGTACTTCCGTTCCTGGGGTGGGGGTTGACGTTAGAAATGGCACCGAGAATGCAGGCGGAGGTGCGGTACCTTGAGCTTGTTTTGTATCAGGTCCTTCTTGTTAGGAAGTTTGCCATACAAGCGGAATAGCCGTTGTTCCTCTGGGTTGAGTTTCTGCTCCATTGCGTGAGTAGGGTGCATCTTGGAGGATTGCGGGGTTCTGGGACAAGAGTGTGTTGATCTCTGCTCGCAGCAGACGATGGAAGGAGATCATGGGTGACGTACGCTGAGGTCGACCTTGTTCTGCTGGTGGGGATTCATGGTTGTGGATTGTAGCGCTAAGGTCGCGCAGCGGAGATGACTATGACGTCGTGGAGGAGGCAGTCGGGGAGACGGACAATGGCGGACTGAGGAGCGGCGGAAGAGGGAGCTGAGTCGTGGTCGAGTTGCGAGTGTGGTGGTGTTTATTCTTCTTTGTCTGGGGGGTGGCCAGGGAAAGCTCACGACGAGCAAGGTGGTTTAAATGTGTGGACGTCGTTGGCTCGCGTCGACGATTGCTTGGGCGAACAGGGACCGACCGGGGAGGGGGTGGGGGATTTAGGAGGGTTGAGGCGGTCGAGCCGAAACGCCAACCAACAACAAGTGCCGGCTGCCTCAAACTTGGCAGTGCGATATGAGGGGTGTCTCTGAGGGCAAACAGACTAACTATGAGTGGGAGTCTTGAAAGGGGCGAGGAATTGGCAGATGGGATGGAGAGTCGCAGGTGAGGGGCTCCCTGGGGCCCAGCGGATATCTATATAAGCTGCTGCTATGTACAAGTACTGTAGCTCTAACCCCCAAGAATGACCACCCTTACAAGTAAAGCTTGACGGAGGGGCGGGGCAGCCAGCAAGTCGTAGCCGTGAGGCCACTCAAAGGACGCCGTGATGCAGGCGGCTTCTCCAGAGCTGCACGATATGGCACCCGAAGATGCAGGGAGCCGATGTACTCATCGGCTACGGTATAGGCACTGTCGCTCTCGGCCGTTTGAAGGCATCCGTGGACGGCTCAAGACGTCACGCGTGCTACCCACTGAGCATACCAGTTGTTTTGAATTGCTTTTTGCTCAGGAGACGATCGTGTGAGGGGGGTGATGTTGTGTAAGAGCTGCTGCATCTCCGTCTATCTGGGTAGACTGTCCAAGTCATGGCATGGTCCAGGGATCCAAGGCGTGTGCCTAGACCCTTTTGCTACTGGATTGGAAGAAGACGGTGAAATGCTGCAGAAATCGTCCCCAAGAAAGCATACCAGGAAGATGGTCAGAGAAAGTGACCCGGCCCTCGCTGATTGGTCAATGCCCCACCCTACTGCTGCAGCTGACGGCACATGTTCAAGTGCACACTTTTCCAGGTACGCAGTAATAGGTACCACTGCCGGTGGTATCCCGCACCCATACTTGTACATTGCAGCATCCCAATATGGCCAGCAGCACTCCCACACCCGGCAAGACCTTCGTAGTCGAGCACCTGGACCCAGAGTTGGAAGAGTGGTCTGCTCTCGAGTATGCTGCCATTGCATCCGAGAGCCATGCCGCTGGCGCTCAATTTCTGCTCTCCTCCGTGCCAGAAGCATTCCAGTTGCCAGAGAAGCTGCAGCATGCAAAGGGCTTGAAGATTGAGACGAGGGGCGTCGAGGACATTTTTGCAGACTGCAAAGACAGAGTCTGCTTGTTGGATCCCGCTGCCCCGAAAGACCTCAGCCCAGAGGATGGCGATGCTTTTGACGTGTTCCTATTTGGCGGCATCCTAGGTCAGTTCCAAGCCTCGCTGCCTTTGCGGATTGCTTCTCCAAACTGACCGCCACATAGGCGATGATCCACCCAGAGGTATGTGCTGTCTCTTGCCTTTTGTGCAGCCATCGGTGGGCAGCCTTCACATGTCGGCTGACCTGCTCTCCTCGTAGATCGTACCTCAGAACTGCGCAAGAAGGGCTACCAGGGCCGTCGGTTGGGCCCCGTGCAAATGACTACAGATACAGCCGTTCGAGTTACCAGAATGGTCGTTCAAGACAGAGGTTGGTTGATCATGGTAGACACCCTCTCCCAACCTTCGCCCTCTGACGCCAACTAGTCCCTGTCGACCAAATTCCCTATGTCGATCATCCCGAGTTGAAGATCAGCAAGCACGAGAGCACCCAGATGCCCTTCCGCTATGTCAAGGATAAGACTGGAGCGCCCATTATGCCAGAGGTACGATGCCTGTAACATGCCGCTACCAACGAAACTTCTGACAGAACAGGGCATGGTCGACCTCATCAAAAGAGATTCCGAGAAGGCGCTAGACGACCTGCTATGAACGCCATGGCTCAGCGAGTGGTGGTGCAGGAAAGAGTTGCAAGCCGATGAGCAGGCACAACCAGCATCTGTGGTAGAGTGCCAATGTAGGAATGGGGAAGAAGACGAGAAGCCAGAGATCCAAAATCCGTCGCATCAGCCGCCAAATACACTCAGGTCCAGATCGCCGACAGTTAAGGATTCGCTGTATCAGAGCAGTGGCAGGAAAGGCGGCGTCGTTGGCTGTCATGCCGCTCATTGAGCGTTGAGCGGTCCATGAAATCGGGCTCTCACGAACCGCACTGAGCTTTTTCCTGGTTAGGGGGGCATGTGACACAGTTGTTGAAGCAGGGCGCACGGCAGACGCCGAACGTTGGTGCAAGGAGTTGCTCTTGAGACATGGCCGTGAGATGCGGCGTCGTCGGAGGGCGGCACTCCCGATCGATGCGGCTGCGTCTTATTGGCCAGCGCCATGGTAGCAATCCATCCAGGCCTACTTCCGAACACCTGCAGAACAAAGCAATTGACATCCCGCATATTGCCCGTGAATAGAAGACGACAAAGAGCCGCTCATAAGCTAGCGTCTATTCATCGTCAATTCTTGCTATTCACCCAAATCTCGCCAACCTGGATTCGGCCGCTCTTTTGACCTCTTGGAATCCCGTGCCTCGCATTCCCGTCCGCCACTCACCTCCCCAGGGTCCCTGCGCTCCGCCTCGTAAGCCCTGTGGCCACGAATCCCATCGCAACGAGCGACCTCTACTGTGGTATTTACCCTAGCTCCTCAACCCCCTTCACGCCCTCGTACGCCGCCGCCGTCCGCGAAGACAGTCGAGTCCTCATGAGATAGCGACGGCATATCCTCTCTCTCTCCACTTTCCCGGACCCGTCATGCTTTCCACCTCTCCTCCCTCGCCATGGCGGACCGCCATCGTCGGCGGACTCCTCGCGTCGCTTTCATGGATCGACGGATGCTCCGCAGAGAAGTCGCAGGCAGATTACTTTGTCCATTCATTACCAGGCGCTCCGGAACCGCTGCTGAAGATGCATGCCGGGTGGGTGACCTCCCAAACGCCCAACAGATGGCTTCAAGCTAACGCAACATCAGTCATATCCAAGTCGACGAAGAACACCACGGAAACCTCTTCTTCTGGCATTACCAGAACCGACACATTGCGGACAAGCAGCGGACAGTGATATGGCTCAACGGCGGACCTGGCTGTAGCTCCATGGACGGCGCGCTTATGGAGATCGGCCCCTACAGGGTACAAGAAGACGGGCAGCTCACGTACAACAATGGCTCATGGGACGAGTTCGCCAACTTGCTTTTTGTCGATCAGCCCGTAGGGACGGGTTTCAGCTACGTCGACACCAATAGCTACCTGCACGAGCTTGATCAGATGGCGGACCAGTTCATGATATTTCTAGAAAAGTGGTATGCCCTGTTTCCCGAATACGAGCACGACGACGTAAGTACGACGCTTGGAAGCTGTAACCACCTAATACTGACCGTGTCTAGCTTTATATCGCAGGCGAGTCGTATGCCGGCCAACACATCCCTTATATCGCGCGAAGCATCCTCAAAAGGAATAAAGAACCGGGGAAAACGACGTGGAATCTCAAGGGTCTGCTTATTGGCAACGGATGGATTTCGCCAGTCGATCAATACTTGTCCTATCTACCCTACGCATATCAGGAGGGCATCATCAAAGCCGGCTCTGATGCGGCGAAGCGAGTCGAGGCCCAGCAGTCCAAATGCGTACAGCTATTAAAGGATTCAGCCAGCGGCCATGTCGACACTCCAGAGTGTGAAGCGATCATGATGGCCATTCTTGAAGAGACCAAGGACAAGACCGCGGATAAGATGCATCAATGCATCAACATGTACGACATCAGATTGCGAGACGACAGTTCCTGCGGAATGAACTGGCCTCCGGACCTCACCACCGTTACTCCCTATCTGCATAGGAAGGACGTCATCCAGGCCCTACACATCAACCCAGATAAGAAGACCGGGTGGCAGGAATGCAATGGTGCCGTATCAGCCAACTTTCGAGCTCGCAACAGTGTTCCAAGTTTTCATTTCCTTCCCGATTTACTTTCGGAAATTCCCATCACGCTGTTCTCCGGTGACAGGGATCTCATCTGCAACCACGTAGGTACCGAGTCGCTAATCGAAAACATGAGCTGGAACGGTGGCAAGGGCTTCGAGATAAGCCCTGGTGTCTATGCCCCACGGAGAGACTGGACTTTCGAAGGCGAGCCCGCTGGTGCCTATCAACAAGCCCGCAACCTCACCTACGTCCTTTTCTATAACTCTAGCCACATGGTCCCCTTTGATTATCCGAGGCGTTCGCGGGACATGCTCGACCGTTTCATGGGCGTTGATATCAGCGCTATCGGCGGTAAACCTACTGACAGCGAGATTGACGGCGAAAAAGGTCCTCTGGTCAGCGTGGGCGGACATCCCAACTCCACAAACGCCGAAGCCGAAAAGACGAAGCAGCTGAAGGAAGCGGAGTGGAAGGCCTACTACCGCTCGGGTGAGGTGGCTTTGGTCGTTGTGGTGATTCTGGCTGTCATCTGGGGCATCTTCATCTGGCGCGATCGCCGGCGACGCGCGGGCTACAAAGGCGTCGACGGAGGAGACGAGGGCCGCGAATCCCTCATTGCCGGAATGGGCCTGGACAACTTCAGGAGGAGAGACCGTTCCAGGGATCTCGAGGCTGCCGATTTCGACGACAACGAGCTGGACGATTTGGATGCGAAGAAACCCGTGAATGGGCAGCCGGATGGACATCAGAACGGCAGGGCGGAGAAGGAGAAAGTTGGAGAAGAGGACGCGGCGCGGTATAGTCTCGGAGAGGCGAGCAGTGATGGGGAGGGGAGTGATAGGGGTAGGAAGATGGCGGCGAGGGAGAAGACATAGCGATGCTCTTTCATTATTGTTACTTGCACCTTTTGTTTGCTGTCTATCAGCACCATTGGATACACGGAAATGGACCAGTGGCGTCCTTGTCGCTTGGAAACACATAGGATTGGGCATTTCCCGGCGTTCTGGGGTTGGGGTACGGATCGGAATATTGCTATCTAGGGAAGATGGAAATATTAGTTTATCTTTAGAAAGCCCGGTATCAGGAGATACCTTTTAACTCTACCTATAAAATCCTCCTCACCATTCCGCTAAAAGTACTAGCAGAGTTGCTCAACTTTATCAAGCCAGCGCCCTTTGGGTATGGGTGCCTTTGTCCACGTGACCTGGTGCCATGGCGCGTTCCTTCTCGGACCTCAGCGCGTCATCCCCAACCTCACCTCAACTCTCCACCTCCCAAACCACCAACCACCCCTCCCATGTCCACGCCCACCTGAGACGCGACAATGCCTGCGTACGTCCTTGCCCAGCTTTTTTCCCACACCGACTCCATCTTCCAAAATGGTAATGCTAACTCCACCCGCCGCAGACCAGGCGACCAATACGCCTCCCCGCACATCAAGAACCCCTTCGACGAACGCTCCGTCTCCGCCTTCACAGCCGCCGAAATCGCAACCCTGCAAAGCCGCCTGGACAAGCAGCTGGGTCCCGAGTATGTTTCGCATCGATCCGGCGCCGGAGGGAGCAAAGTAGCGTATTTGGAGGGGACCAAGGCGATTGCGTTGGCGAATGATGTGTTTGGCTTCAATGGGTGGAGTAGTTCGTTGCAGCAGGTGCAGATTGATTATGTATGTTTTGGATGCGGTTGTGTCTTGAAGGGGCTAGGAGGAGCTAATCTGGAGTAGGTGGATGAGAGTCCGAATGGGAGGGTGAATCTAGGGCTGTCAATTGTCGTGAGGGTTACGTTGAGGGATGGCACGTATCATGAGGTACGCGTGTCTCAACCCGCCAGCTTTCCCAACCAGCAACTGCATCACTGACGGATGGAGAAATTAGGATATAGGCTACGGCACCATCGAGAACTGCAAAGGCAAGGGTGCTGCCTTTGAGAAGGCGAAGAAGGAAGCCGCGACAGATGGATTGAAACGCGCACTTCGTAACTTCGGCAATGTCCTGGGCAATTGCCTCTACGATAAGGAGTACCTAAAAAAGATTGGGAGTATGAAGGTCAAGCCGACAAAGTTCGACGAATCCAAATTACACAGGCATCCGGATTTTCGGCCCCCGCCACAGGTTAAGGAGGAATGTGCAGCGGTGAAGAAGGAGGAAAATGCAATGGTATCCGTGGGACAGGATGGGGTGTCGAGAACGGCGGCCCAACGGACACCTACGGGTGAAAGCATGGATTTCGACGACGAGTTTGGCGGGAATGATTTTGATGGCGTCGAGTTCAGCGAGCATGGCGGCGATGAATTCACGCTCGACAGTCTCTCTGTCCCTGAAGATGGCCCGGGAAAAGCTCCCGAGGTGTCGATTGGATTAGTTCAGAATAGCGGACCACTACAGCGACCTGGCGTGGCGATAAACAATGGCACAGCCCAACAGCCTACAAGACGAATGCCATCGATACCCTCGGGCAATGCAGCGAATGGTACCAGCCAACCCCGACGACAAGAACAACAACGGAATCAAGGACTACCTAGGTCAGGCGCTCAAGCACCCCAGACGCCCGTCCGTCCAGAGGCACAGCGACCCCATGGGCCCGGAGCAACAGTCGACATCCACGCTGCTCCCAACGCCGCCGCTCAGCAAGCTCAGCAAAGACAGCCTTTCAACCCAACCCCTCCTCAAGCCCAGCAGAACAGCAATAACAGCAAACAACCTCCTGCCCCGCATCAACAACAACAACAACAGCAGCAGCCCGCACACCCTCGTCCACCGCAACAGGAGGAACAAGGCCATCCTTTCGCCATACCAGCAGCAGCGCAAGTCGGCTTCTTACATCCCAAAGCTGCGGAACGCCTTCGAGACGTGGATCCCTCAGGGCCGCTCCCCCCAGAAGTAAAAGTATTCAACCCGCACGCCGAATCTCCGCAGCTCGAAGCGAAGAGGACCCCTGGAATTGACCGCTCAAGGTCCATGAAGATTAAGAGGGAGCAGGTTGGTCTGCCGCCGGCAAACTTACCTGGTCAGCAGGGGCAGCAGGGGGGCATCGGAGTTGGACTTGGGATGAGGAACAGTAACGTGGCTGGCGGTGTTCACGGTGGTGGAGGAGGCCAACCCTTCCGACCTCTCACGACGGCCGCGACGACGACGACGGTGAATAATGCTCGTCCGCATCCGAATTTTGTGAATCCGAATACGGATCCGAATCGGAGGATTGGGGTCCCTGGGGGTGGACATGCGATGAGTCCGTTGGCGAATCGGGGGGCGTATAAATCTCCTGTTATCCATGGGCAGGGCGGGAACGGGGCGGCAACAGCAGGAGGAGGAGGAGGAGGTGGAGGAGTCAAAAGACCCCCGCTGGCGGATGTTAGTACCCATTATTCTAACGGGGGCAATGGCGGAAACGGGGGTATAGGCGATGGAGGAGCAGAAGGCGGGATGGAGCCGAATAAGAGACCGAGGTTGGACGGTGGGGGGATGGGAGGGAAGGCACTGGATAGGGAGAACGTGGCGCCAGGGGATGCGTCGTAGAATGGTATGAGGAGGAGAGAGAGAGTGGGGGAGTTTTGTTCGATCTCCTGAGCGTTCTGATTCGGATCATTCCTCGGCGACGAGCTGTGTTGCTCGTTTTCTGGCATTTGCTTTTGGTGTTTTCCTTTTTTCTTTGGCGTTGGGTGTTGGACGGAATGCACGTTGCACGTTGCACGTTGCAGGGTGCGGAATCTAACCTGCCGGTATTCTTTAAAGTCAGTCGGGTTTGGCAATGCAGGCGGTTTGGAAGGGGAGAAGGAAGGTCTAGGGATGGCGCCTTTTTTTGGGTACTTTTGGCTTTCCTTTTCTTCACCCTTTTGGGCCGCGCAGAAATGATAAGCGAAGAGCGAAGAAAGGGGTTGACAGATACATCAATACTACTTCTATTGAACTGTGATGCTGATCCAAATGGACGTAGATTGATCGTTTGGTCTGTGCCGTGAGAAAGGATGATGGAATTGCTGCCTTTGCACGCGCGTACGTCTAGAAGGTAGATTGCCTAAGTTTAGCTGTAAGAGGAAGATAAAGAAATTAAATAGATTTAGAGAGGAGATGGTAAAACAGGATGAACCAGAAATAGACAGACTCGACACCTCTACCGCTCTCCCCTAATCTCTATTCCATCCCTCTAACTCACCAAAATTAGGACTACCACAGAACGCAACGGTGAAACAGCGAGCTAGCGACAGACTCGTCCTCGTTCCATACTCCCTCCCGCTCTCCAATGATCGGTCCTGTATAGAACGAACAGCCGAGGACTGGGCGTTACAGTACAAGTATGTATCAAGCCACGCACACCATCAATCACAACCAAATCACAATCCCATAGAGAGGAACTTTCACCATACATAGACCTTTTTATCTCATCACATACATGTATACGGCCGTCCATCCATCCATCCAGTCATCCACCAATGTGTATATATACCATCAAGGTCGTAGCCCTCCGTCAAAGCACATACATGCCCATCCATCCATCCATCCATCCATCCATCACGACATCCATATGCATATCCATACATCGATCCATCGTTCACATTCCCGACCTAAATCCTTTGCCAAGATAAGAAATAGAGCATAAAAAGCAATGGGTATCCGCCGTTAAACAAATCAACAAACAACAAACAACAAACAACAAAACGATAAGAGCGAAGCATAGCAGGGCAATGCGAGGCACATGCAAGGCAAATGCAGAGAAACGCAAATCAGCAAGGGAGTAGAGGGACATCAAAACACCAAACCCCAGATCGAGTTCATCAAGAACCCGCCTTTGAAAGTCGAAATCGCCCAAACAGAAATTGAATGGAGGAAAATCGGCTTCGCTCAATCATCCCAGTTGACCACCGACACAGTGGCCGGATTTCCCCTCACGATGCAATCACGCGGAACATCCTACTCAAGAGTCAGCGACGTTATTCATACGCACCCACACACCCTCGGAAAGCAGATCTCACCTTCATAACCACGGCTCCAGGCTGGACAATGGCCCCGGTACCGATTTTTACTCCCGCACAAATCACCGCTCCCGCACCGACATAGACGTTCTCTCCGATAACCACCTCCCTCGCAACACACGTTCCCTGGACGCCCTTCCTCGACTTCGAATCGGTCGGCACCTTCTGCGTGTCAATGATGACGCCGGCGCCGATACGAGCCGTCCGCCCAATGGTGATGCGTCCGCTGTCGAGAAACTTGCAGCCAGGGCCAATGCTAACGAAGTCGCCTATGACAAGGTTATAGCCGTAATCGCAGTGGAAAGGGGTGGAGACGTGAACATCCTGGCCGACATGGCCAGCAACGTAGGGGATAGCACTGCTGCCACTCGCTCGGTAGTGCAGATCAATGTTCCACTTTGCCTCGACGATAGCCTGGAAGTGCCTCGATCTTTCCTTGTGGGTGATCTGCACGTTGTCCTTGCTGGTCATGTTGAATCGGAACACGAGGTTGCTGCAGTGGTCACGCTCGGCGAGCAGCGAAGGGTGGAAGGCAAGGAAGTCCTCGCCAGCCAGCATCTTGTCCTTCTCGGACCTCTCGCGGCGGGCGGGTTGAGGAGGGTAGTATGGAGGCGGTGGTACAGGTTGCACGCTGCTAGAAGGAGTGTGGTGGGCAGAAGGAAGACCGGAATGGGACGATGCGGGATGCAGGGGAGGAGGCTCGACGGTTCCAGAGGGCGAGTGGTTGAGGACGTGGCTCATGCTCGAGGGACTGTGATTGTAGACTCGAGGTTGGTGGGACGTTTGGGGTACGGGGGCAGGGGTTTGCTGCGCATAGCGCTCACGAGAGAGGATGGGCGGCGGCATGGATGGTGCAGTTGAAGCTGCATACGGATGTTCCGGTGCCTGGGAGTGCTCCGGATGATGCGGTCGCTGGTGCGTTTGAGTAACTGGGTCAGTCCAGTTCCTCCATTCGGCTCGTTGCACTTGGTGCTCGTTTTCTTCGACAACAATGGGACGACCCCGGGCGCCATCAGTCATGCTCGGTTCCGGATATGCCTCCAGCTTGGTACCATGACTGGAGCAATGTTAGCTTGGTCGCGCGTCTCAATCGAAAACTGCTTACTGGTGGAAACTCTGGGGTTGCTCGACAGGGTAGCGCTCCTTGGAGGGCTGTAATGGTGTCAGATTTGATGGTATCTGAAGATGTCACGGTGAC